AGAATGCTCCTGGAGGGAAGGATAGAGAGACTTATCGCACCTGCTTTGGACACGTTATCAGAAGAGGCCAGTTCTTGGAGAAGAACATCATACTTGGTAAAGTGGAGAGGCAACAAAGAAGGTCCTCACCAAGAAGGATTGACACGGTAGCTTCAATGACCTGCTCAAGTGTACAAACAGTTATGAGGATGTGTCAGGGTAGCCAGCCCCTAACAAATAATCACAGGTCCGATACGGCTATAAAATATAAGGATTATAATAAAATCATAAGAGTATAAGAAATAGCAGAGAGAGTAAAATAAAGGCGTCAGACACATTCCGTTATAGGATGCTCACCTCAGCCCTTCTTGGTGGTTCATGTGGGGATGCAGGGGGAGGAGGAGAGAGCAGGAGAGGGAGGGAGAGGGAGCGGGTAAGGAGGGAAGGAGGGAGAGGGAAGGAGGACCAGAGGAGTGGGGACTGAGGAGGATGGGGACTGGAGGAGAGAGCATCTTTATTGTTTGGGGGCTTTAAAAAATAGCCATCAGTCATGCATATTCAGGAGTTACATATGTCACAAGGTGGGCGGTAATCACAGTAAAGTCCTTGAGTTCACAGGTGAGGAAACCCAATACCTGCAATGAGGCTAAGGCATGAGGGGGGATGGGCACAGCTGTGGGAGGAGATAAAGAATGTCTCCTCCTACAGGGAGACAGAATCAACCATGTGCCCAAGGTAAGGCAGCATAGCTGTTAGGGGAGAATCTGTGGGAATGACATTTGTTAGTTTCCCACAAGGATGGTGTAGGACTGTGTGTTGTTTCCCTTTGTTGTGCATAGGTCGCTATGTGTCAGACGACTCAACAGCACCTAACCACCTAACACCACCAATGCCCAGTTTATTGCTCTTTGTGTTTTTTGCTTTTGGACGACTTCCAATTTCCCTACCTTCATACATTGTACATTCCAAGTTCCGATTATGAGTAGATTTTTGCAGCTGTTTCTTCTTATTTTCAGTTACACCCTTTCAGGAAACGAAGTTCCCAAAGGCTTAACGCTCACTGCCTCTGCTCCATGCCTGTCATTCCGGTTGACTCTATTTTGAGAAGGCAGCTCTTCCTCAGTCATAGTTTGAGTGCCTTCTGATCGGAGGGGCTCCTCTTCTGTCACTACCTCTGACGATATTTGGCTTCTATTTTTAGGCTCTCAGTGTCTGATAAGGTCTCAGTTTCAGTGCTGTCATAAGATTTTCAGGCACTGTTTCTTCTGAAATGGACAGCCTATTACTTCTTTGTTGTCTGTTCTTAATCTGGAAACTCTGCTGAAACTTGTTTACTATGGGTGATGTTGTTCATATCTTAAATGCCAGTGGCACAACTTCCACCATCACAGCACACACACAGACGCACACACACACAAGCCACCACAGTATGACAAAGTGACAGTTAGTGGCATGGACAGAATTAGGGTGGGATTAAGATCCAACTTCAGTAGAGGGTGTGAACCAAGCTTTATTCTTTGTTTCTTTGGGGGTATCTTTAAGACTCTACCTTAGTAGAGGGTACGACTTAAGACATTAGCCTTTGTTTTCTTTGATGGTTTATATGCAAGCATACCACCAGGCAATTCTAACATACACAAGATCTCATTAGCATGTCAAAAGGCAAGGATGTTATATTGAGGACTAAGTTGTACCTGACCCAAACCATGGCATTTTTAATGGTCTCAGAGGCATGTGAAAGTTGAGCATAGAATAAGGAAAACTGAAGAGGAATCAATGAACTTGAATTGCAGTGCTTGCAAAGAATATTGAAAGTACCACAGACGGCCAAGGGAATAAACAGATCTGTCTTAAAAGAAGTACAACCAGAATATTCCTTAGAAACAAGGATGACGAGGCTGCGTCTCGCATAATTTGACATATTGTCAGGAAAGACCAGTCTCTAGAGAAGGTCATCATGCCTAGGAGAGGTGCAGGCAAAGGTTGGAAGACCCTTGATGAGATGATTGACACAGTGGTTGCAACAATGGGCTCAAATATAAAAATCACTGTGAGGAAGGTGCATGACTGCGCAGTGTTTTGTTTTGTATAGGCTTTCTGTGAGTCAGAACTGATTCGAAGGCACCCAACAACAACAACAACAACAACAACATGAGAGCAAAGGTTCAGTCTGTACTTGGGGGGAGAGCTTCCTGAAGGAGGGGACCTTGCTGCTTTGTCCTTGAAGGAGGAAGAAAACTTTGCCAGTCAGAAGTATTAATAACAGACTGCAAGCGCTAACATTTATTGAGCACTACTAGATGTTAAGTATTGTTCTAGGTTCTTAACATATATGAAATCACTGGACAGCCTGGGGTACACATCTAGGTCCTGAAGATAAAACTCTCTTACAGGTCTAGTATCGACTGATTTTCCTGTGCCAGTGTGATGGATCACCTTTATATGACCTTTCTAGCTTGTAATATCACCAAACACTTGGGTAGGACTACCAAAATCAGATCCCTGTAGTCCACCAAGAGCCTTGGGCAGTTTGCTGATACTACATATAAGGTATACAGGATCTTGCTGGAAAGGGACCATATAAATTAGGTGCATGGAATGCTCACAGGAGGATTGGCAAAACTTGGCTCTTATATTAGACTGGTCAGTTTTATACTGATAGTCATGGACATTTACGGCTACCAGAATCCGTGTTAAATCTTTCCAAAGACAATTTGCTTCAGACTTAGGAAAATAAACAATGAGCAGTCTTGTGGAGCAATTACGGTTACTACAGTCCCATCCCTGAATATGGACCAAACTTGGAATACCACTCATCTCCACAAACCAATATAAGACACGACTCTGTTCTACTTAGAAAAGATATACTCCTAAGCATAGCTCTCCTTTATTTACATAAGCAATGAACTCAACTTGCTGCCTTGACTTGAGAGATCAAGAGGAAGCTTCATCCTTCCAGGCTATCTTTGCCTTTGACACACAACGTTCAATGTGTGTGTGTGTGTGTGTGTGCTCACCTGTGCATTGACCAGTTGGATGAGCATGTCGAGGTTCTTGAACCAGCGTTCAGCATTCTCATAATGGAAGTCTGAACCCATTGTCATTATGATGTTGTTGCTGCGGTAGTGCCTGGCCTGGAGACAAAAGGAATGGGTCTTTGTAGACCACAGTGCCTTGAAGCCTTGCACGGTGCCCAGTTATGAGTTGTCACGACCGTAGAACACACGTGCGTGCTTGTCTGGTGATGGTGACATGGAGTAGGGTGGAGTGTGAGAATAAATTTATAATAACCATAAATATTTAACCCACCCCATAGCCAATGCGGTGCCCCCTGGTTCCTTGAACAGTATGTGTGCAGTTAGGAATGATGCTGCGTGTTTCAGAGGTAGCATACATACACACACGATATACATCTGTACTCCTGAAGCAGACTGCCTGGGCTCGCAGTCTGGCTCTGCCATTCACTAACTTTGTGATCGTGGGCTAATGTGCATACTCGCCTCACATTTACCTTTCTGGCTGTCGGTTTCTTTGACTTTATGGAGATAATAACGTTATGAAAGAAATTAATTATGAAAGAAATGAACAGGATGTCTATGCTGTGGGAAAGCCCATTCCATGAGCCTCAGGGGTTCCAGTCAGTGATACCTGGCGCAGGCCATGTCCTGGTCAAAGGTACCTGGTCAGCGACTACTTTCAGGAACTGTGTCACCACTCGGTCTGCATTATTCGCTGGGCTGTCATTTTCATCTACCACGGGCGAGTCAAAGCACTTTATATCCCAGCAAAATCCAGTTGGGGGCTCATATTGATTGGGAAGAATACCTGCCAGGGAATGAAATGAAGGGGTTGCTAAGGACCCCAGCAGCAGGTCAAGAGCATGCCTTCCCCACCCACCCACAGACCAAGGACACTCACTTACTGGTAAAGAGGTCAGCAGTGGGAGGTGGGAGGCTCATACTGCCCCGCCACACCTGCTCCATTTGCTGTGTTCTTTCTCGAATGTTCTTATCCTGGTAGTCCACACGCCCCAAGAAGATGCCATCGAAGCCCATCTGGGAACAGGGAGGAGGCTCAGAACACAAGGAATGTAGGCTTGAAACCTAGTTCCCAGCCTCTCTCAATGAGTTTGAAGTGGGCAAAGTAAAGGCAGGTCGAGGTGATCACGTTTCTTTCTTAAAACACAAACTTCCCCTGCTGGAGTGAAAGAAAGGGAGTGGAAGAGACTCGCAGTAATCAATCTAGTTGACGACTCCGCTCTTGATTCATACTTGGAGCAGCCCTGTAATTCAGAGTGGATGTGGATGAAAACGAACTGGGTCCCCCAGAATAAAGTAGGGCAGGATCAAGTCTAATCTGGAAAGCGGGAAGAGTTGGAAGGGGCCCTGAGTGTTAGGAAGGGGAGCGCCTCGACCAGTTGCTTCCAGAGTAAGGGAGTGCATGTGGAAGTCAAAATAAAATAAGGGGTCATGACACGGGTAGATTCAAAGATTTGCTTCAGGGATACCTGGGCAAAAAGCGAGGCCTGCTCTCGCGAGTGACCAAAGGGATCGATGTGCCAGGCTACATGGGGGCGCCCATCTTTGCCGAACGTGTTCTCCAGAAAGTTCAGCCCGAGTGTCATCTGATCCACGATGGCGCCATAGTGCGTGGTCGCCTCGTCATTCATCACCCAGCCGCCGTTGGCAAATTCCAGGCGCCCTGGCCAGGAAGGGACATGGTGAAGGGCAGAGGACACAGATTAGTGCCTACTAGAGGCCAGGGTGAGAGTACCCACGTGGACACCCAGACTTGGATGGCGAGGTCAACTCTTGGCCCTGTAGAACCCGGAATGGAGAGGACACGGTCCAATGCTCCTCTGGGGGTGGGGTTGGCTTCTAAGAGGAGATGCCGGTGAAGGAGAGGCCATGAAACATGTGGTGGAGTTCCCTGGGTACAGGCTCATTTCAGAGAGGGAGAGCAACACACGTGTACATGCCTGCACATTGAAAAGGAAAAAAAAGAGGTTTGCAGAAATGGAAGTCACCAGCGCCTGCCTGTTTACTCTCACGGAGCAAGCTTACCCTGGTGCACGAGGTCCTGCACACCCTTCTGCATCTTCTTGTCCTGGAGCTTCCACCAGCGGGAGAAGAAGGCCATCTCCACATAAATGAAGCGCCGTGTGGGATTGGCCCAAAGGGATTTCACCACCGAGCTCAAGATGTTTATCACACACTCAAAATGGTTTTCGGGTGTGTCTGCGTAGATGGCAGATGGACAATAAAGACATGGGTGACAAGCGGCCACTGAGAGCAAGAGATTCAATAACAAACAAAGCCCACGCTCCTATGTCTCTGGCCAGGTGAGGCCTGAATACCCTGGGGAAGAGTGTTTTACATTGTGGGGCTGGTAGGGGCTCCAAAGAGGAATGGATAACCCGGGGGGGAAAGTCTTCTACAATGTTGGACCCAGACCTCTGCTCACCTCGACAAAAGTACTGGTCCACTGTCTTGAGCCAGCCCACATCATTGTGCGTGTGGGCCACCAAGTGCACGTTGAGCATGTCAGGGTGAACGCTGGGGCATGTCTGCACAGGGACCCCAAACACACAGCAGTTAGTACCCAGCATACCTACCCCACTCATCGGCCTTCCAACGCTGGCCAGGTAGGGTGAGAATTGGGCACCAGATCATCCAGTGTGTCCATGACTCAGAGGAGGGGTCCCTGGTGTGGTCTATGGAGGATCATGTGCCGTTGAGAAACATCTCCCTCTTTGGTTTACACTCAGACACACAACCACCTTCTCACATACATACAAGTAGAAATTTAAACCTGCTCCATGTTGGACACGGAGTAAGCCCCCCAATGTTAATCTCATTCTTACACTAAACAATGACACAAAGACTGCCAATAGTAGAAGACATGAGACACGCCACTGAACACACACATACACACACACACACACACACACACACAAACCCACGGACACGGAAAACAAATTTATTACCATATTTTCAAGAACACAAATACTCTAGGTCCTCCCCAACCTCGGTACAGACCAACTCTAACAATCTCCCATCTAGGGTCTCACACCTTGTAACCACTTGCAGACACTCGAACCACCGGCAGCAGCCCAAGACAAAGGAAGAAGGAGGGGATGTGAGCCCCTGGCACACAGGAGTTGGTCATGATTCCATATAGGTCCCGATCCTGGTTGATCCCGGAGTCACAAGCAGCTGTGTACGTCACCTTCTGGCTGTCCCGGTTAACTGGCTCCGTTGCTGGGACTGTGACAGAACAAAGGCCAAGCTTCCATATCAGCCCAGCCAATCAGAGCTGCAGGGGCAGGTCGGAGGTGGGGCTTGGCGTTATCTGGAGATGGCACCTGGGAACACAGGTTGGAACGCAAAGCTGAGGCTTGGGCTGAGACGCCAGAGGAACCTGGTATTTCCGAGGACTGCAGCCCGCTGGACGGACATCCTCTTGGGGACCAGCTAAGGGAAAGCGCTGGTGTAGGGTCATCTACATCCCCTGGGGAGCTGTCCAGGCAATCCTAGTCAGAACTGGGGTGAGGAAAGACCCTGGACCACACGAAGCCCAGAAGGTGAAGTTCCCTGAGAAGGTAGACATGTGGAAAAGATGTTGCCGTTATGTGCAACTCTGGCAGTTCTAACACGTAGTGACCACGCACAACAAAACGGAAATAGTACCCAATCCCGGGCCATAGATCTGAATCTTACTGGAGGTGAGCAGAACTAGGGTCGATCTTTATAGGAACCGGTGTCTGAGTTCTGGAAGCAGGCAGTCAGACCTGAGTCTTGGAGGCCCAGATGTGGACAGTCCCACATACCAGTCTCCGCGTTCCATTCGCCAGCAGGAAATTAGATGATTTCATAGGTTTCCCGGTGCAGTCCCTTCCCACGGCTCCAGCGCTCCCACTCTTGTCTCTCAATCAACTCCTTGATTGGGGCTGAGACAAAACTGATCCCAACTAAAAGGCTAAACCAGCCGCCACTAGGTCTGAGGAATTTGGGGAAGAAAGAGCAATGCCATGAAAATAGAAGAGAGCGGTTGCTTAAGGGTTCTGGCTTTATATTCTGGCTCCTTGGTTTCTGGCACGATACCTGCTTTGGGAATTGTTTTTCACCACTAGTCATACATTTGTACTGTGGTGTGGGTGAAGACTTAAAGAACCCAGGACGGGGAAAAATAACAAACACATCTGTCTTGAGAGCACCCTGCCTTAGCAAGGATGCTGAATCTTTGTCTCACATGGTTTACACAGGTTATCAGGAGCGACCAGTACCTGGGGAAGAGCCGCACGCTTGGGAAAGTGGAGGGGCACCGGAGAAAGAGGAAGACCCTCATTGGCTACAACAATGGACTCAAACAGAAGAACAATTGGGAGGCTGGCAGACAACCATACAAAACACAAGCATAAAGCAAGCAAGCAAACACAAGCTAATAACAATGACAAAACAAACCAGAAAAATCTCATTCGAAAGGAAAGCAGAAAACATTCAGATCTGAAACAACTTAAAAATGGGTCACAAGGGAGATCAAATGAGGAGGTGTTGCGTTTAGTGCAACTACCTTTGCCATCATCGACTTCACCATGCTCTCTGTCTGATCGCCAGGCTATACACATTCCTGAACGGGGCGTAATTCCTGTGGGACCTTCCAAATGTATTTTGGGCTTCCACTGTCTATGCTGTTAGGTGTCATTGAGTTAGTTCTGACTCGCAGCAACCTGGTGACCAGCAGAACAGAAACCGCCCAGTCCTGTGTCATCCTCAAAAGTGTCCCTGTGCCTACGCCCATGGGTGCAGCCACTGAGCTCCTCTTCCTCCCTGCCCCTTACTTCATCCACCACGATGTCCTTCTCCAGGGATTGGTATCCCCTGACAACATGCCTAAACTATGCATGACGACATCTTGCCAGCCTTGCCTCCAAGAAGCACTCTGGCCTTACTTCTTTCAAGACCAATTTGTTTGTTTTTTGAGCAGCCCATGATATTTTCAATATTCTTGGTGGATGGTTAGGTTTTTTGTGCCAACACGACACCTGTAAGAAGAGATGTGGGGAGCCTAGTCTGTCAATCGGGTGGCAGCTATATGAGCTCCTTTGGAGGTGCGACAGGAAAATATAACTCTGCAGGCCAGCCTCTCTTTTTCTCTCTGCCTTTACCTTCCCGCTTGCTGGCCACTCTGAGAGCTGCTGGAGTCCTGCCGTATTTACTACTGACCTAGGATCCACACGATTTTGCATATACCAGCCTATGATCTTCCTGTATTTTGTATCATTGCATGTGTCTGCGTGAGTCTGAAGAGGGCCTTGTGGACTAAAATCATACTTAGGGACGTGGGCTGTGTCGTGCTGGGATGTTTTCTTGCTATATAATTCTCGAAACACAGCTCTTTCTTACACATGTTTGAATGACATTGGATTTGTTTCTCTAGTCAACCTGGCCTAACATACTTGGCCAGCACCACGATTCAAAGGTATCAATTCTTCTTCCATCTTCCTTATTCAATGTCCAACTTTCACATGCACCAGACCTCTTTAGAGTATTGAAAAGCAAGGTTGTTACTTTGAGGAGTAAGTTGTGCTTGACCCAAGCCATGCTATAGGCAATCGCCTCATATGCATGTGAAAGTTGGACGGAATAAGGAAACTGAAGAATTAATGCATTTGAATGGTGGTGCTGGAAAATAATGTTAAAAGCATCCTGGACCACGAAGAAGACCAACAAATCTGTCTTGGAAGAAGTGCAGCCGGAGTGCTTCTTAGAGGTGGGATGGCCTTACCTCTCATGCCCTTTGGACGTGCTGTTAGGAGAGATCAGCCCCTGGAGAAAGACATCGTGCTGGGTTGTAGTATTAAATTAAAATGGCGTGGAGGAGTGGGGTGAGGGGCCAGCCCCACCCGCTGCTTGAACTCACTGGTTCAGTAATACTACTTCTGGGTTCAGTAATGCACAATTGTACGGTTGAGATATATAAGTATTATATTAAAGTCATCGAGAGCATGAGAGATATTACAATAATGCAGTCAGACACATTACATGGTAGCATTGCTCACCTGAGCCCAGCTTGGTGGTCCATGTGGAGAGAGGGGGAAGGGAAGGAGGACAAGGGAACAAGGGAGAGGGGGAAGAGAGGGGAGCCAGAGAGTCAGAGAGGTCTGAGAGGTTCCGAGCGCTCTATATTGCTGACTCACGCCTATATACCTTTTGGGGGCATGCCAGCCCACTAATTACAGGTAGACATACATCACATGAAGGGGTTACACTATAGGTTACACAGCAATGGGGGGGTGGTCTAGGGGGTGGTCTCTGGGTCTCCATAGGAACCATTATCAGTAGGGTGCAAACCCCTCCTACAGGAATCAAGCTAATGGTCCCAAGCTTCAGAGAGAAGTAGTCCATTGTCCCCAGCAGCAGGGAGCAGGCCCACCCCTGTGGTGGGATGAGATAGCAGTCTGGCAGCAAGGATCTGACCTCCCCCCACACTGGGTAAAAGCGGGGCAGCGAACAAAGGAAGGCCCTCAACGAGATGGATTGGCGCAGTGGCTGCAGCCATGGGCTTGAGCAGAGGGACAATTATGAGGATGATGCAGGCCGGGCAGTTTCATTCTGTTGTGCAGACGGTGCTGTGGGGTGGAGCCAACTCGATGTCCCCTGACAACAGGAATGCTGTAGGAGCTCCCACTGGCCTAGTGCACCTCACGTCGTCGGGCTGCTCACTGTAAGGTCAGCCGTTGGGAAGTGCTAGGGAGGAAAGATGATCGTTTTCACTATCATAAAGCTTTAAGGCCTCGGATGTCCTAAGGGGCAGTTCTGCTCTGTCCTATCGGGCCACGGGGAGTCAGAATGGATTCAACGAGTGTGAGATTTCAGCTATCAGTGCTGGAGTGAGCTGGGATCTCATGGAGGTTTTGACGACCATTTCTTGGCTAGCGAGTGATCGTGAGCACTTTTCGTCTGTTTGTTGGTCGCCTGAAGTCATTCTTTGGTGATTTGTATCCTTGGGCCATTAACCCAACAAACAACGTTGTATTGTGGATTTGCTGGGGGTTTCCATCTGAGATCATTGTTGCATTCAATAACTTAAGCAACTTATCCCACCTTCCAATGCTGTGTGCTGTTTCCTCTTTTCCCTTGTAGTATATCATCTTCCTCTTCACTCAGCTTGGCATTTGTCTACCCTTTCGCTTGCTATTCCTAAAGTTTTCAGTGAATAATCCCCCCAAAGTGGACAGCCTGGTCCTGATGCTTATTCTGATCGTAGTCTGCAAACTCCACTGAAACACGTGCACCTTGGGAGTCCTGCTGGT